TTGACAAACCAATCATAAAAATAGCGTGCTGAATATATTGCTGACCAACTATGAGGGTCATTTCTTTCCCATTCATAAGCATTTTTTTCTGGATGGAATTGTAATCCCACAAATGGATAATTTTTAGCTTCTACTGTGGATATGTATGTCAAATTATTTTCATCTTCATTTATTGTTATAGGATTCCAAAAGTGATCTAACTTCATTGACGTAAAGTTCTTTTGTGTTACACAATGACTGTATAAAAAACAATACCAATTAATTAAAATTTTTAAAAAATGCTTCAATAAATATATTAATAAAACCATGTTTATATTATTATGTTATCATTAAGTCTAGAAATCTTTAATTTGTTTTTCCATATTCTCTTTAATTATATACACAAGAATGATGTTTTATAAATAGCATAAAATATTGAAACCAATTTTTAATGTATAAATAGATACAAAAAAAAGTAAATTCATAATAAAAACTTAATAATTATCATGTTTTGAAATGTTAAATTTATCCCTACCCCTTAAAATCTACCTATGTGACTATGATATCCCAAATGTTATAATAAGTAATTATACTTTTAGTTTGTTCTAAGTGTATAATATAATGTTCTAATATCTATATAAAAATAATATTAGAATTCATTCATACATATGATGGTTTGCTGTGACAGGTTCTGTAAGTAGAATGTTTCGAACATCCTTTGGCATTGTTTTGAATAACACACTTTTTTCTTCCATTGTTGGTATAAGATTTAGAGGTAAATTCATGCCTATAGAATCACAGGCTGTTAGAGGATTTTTTCCATCAATAGATGTGATTAAAAGAAGTTCAAATCCTAAACAAATTCCAAGTATTGGAAATCGATCTCCTTCATCATTTATCTGAAAAACAAATGAATGGCCTAAGGTCTTTTGAAATATAAAAAATAGTGAAATTAAGAAGAATTAAAATCCTAAACAAATCCCTGTTATTGTAAATTATTGTTATTTGTATTATTTATAACTGAAAAAACTGGCAATGATGAGTGCATGAGCAACAAAAGATTTCAACCATGAATAAATGTATTAATTTTATTGATTTCTTTAATTATGTTATATTTTTTACATGTTTCACAATGTGAAAAATCTCATTTGTCGATTGACATATTCCAAAACTAATATTAAACGCACATCCTCCTCCAGGGACCAGAATGCCATTCACTTTTTTTACTGCATCCCTATAACATATTATAGTTGTTATTTGTGTTTGTTATAAAAAATGTAATTATACTGTAACGTACATATAATATTCAGTAGTCCTGTTGGTGAAAACTGGTACGACTTGTCCTCCAGAAGCTTCAATTGATTTAACATAAGATGCAGCTATATATGAGTTATTAAGTGGTACTAAATTTTTAAAACTCGACCAATAAACTTCTTGTGTTAAAATTCCAATCACTGGCCTTTCATTACAATTTGTGAGTTTTGTTACAAAACTCAAAATTAAAGCAATAAAAACTAGTAAATACATATTTTGGAAATAACTAGTACATGTACTAAATTAAAACACTGATTGAACAAACAAACTGCAAGTTCAAAATTATTTCAAAGCTTGTCTTATGTGTATTTGTTACCTAATAGTAATGGTTTATTTTCGAATTTTTTATCTTACTTTTTATACCATGTTTCCAATTATAATAGTTTAATCAAACACATTATTAAAAACTTTAAATGTCAAACCAATTACTTGTAATTTAAAATTGCATTAATTTAATGACGAGATTATTATATCTTAATTTTTAAGCTATCTGCCCATAATACAAATATAATTTATAGCAGATATTATTCAGAGCTGTATCAAATTATCACATAAAAAAATAAAAAACACTGTTACTTTTTTTGGTTGAAATATTGTAAAAAAATCACTAAATAAAAATATATTTATAAATCTTATTTAATTTTATACTTACCTGAAAATACTTATACATTCATTCAAATTGGTATATAATTTTTAAAAAAAACCAAAGCTTTGGATTATTCAACACTTCAGACTGTTCAGAATATTGAAATAGTGTTTTGTTGATACAATTTATAAAAATTGTTGAAAATTGATGTTATTGAAACTCATGTAAATGTATTTCATCAAAGGTGTAGATATAAATTATTGGTTTTTTAAAAATATAAAAATATCATTCCTTGTTTATTATAGTAATAATAATATATTATGCAAAATACAATATAATATGTACATTTTATATATATATATATGTATACTCTAAAGAAATAGAATAATATATTATTTAAAATTATAGTACTATTGTGAGTTATGCCATTTAGAACAAACCAATGATACATTTATTCATTAAAAAAGTAAACTTGCTCGAAAACAGATTTCAATTTCCCCACGTAAGTGGTAGGGTAGTTATAAATTAATTCATTTTCCAGCTGACTTTGTTTGATATA